CAGCTACATTGTAGCCACAGCCACCCTGGGGCGCACTGACAGAGGCGAGGCTGCCGGACACTGGCGCCGCCGAGCCCCGGGCACCATACCACTTTTTTATGTTTGATACCGATACTGTACATCAGATTGGTCCATCTCTACTATAACCCCACTTTTTATCTTGTGTCAGCTTGCATGGTCTCCCTTCCTTAGTGGCGGACTGTTGAATTGGGGGTCTTTATGGTCTCTAAAATTATATTGGTTTGCAGATTAAACTGATCACTTACTATATGCCCAACCATTGTAATCTGAACACCTAATGAAAACAAAATCTAATACATAGACAAGACAGTTCACTCAGTGAATAGTTTGCTATTAGAGTAGACACAGATTAGTGTGCAGACCAGGGGCTGGCTGCCAGCCAGTCTGTTTGTCCACCTCAAGTCACTGAGTTTCAGAGCGAACAGCTTCTCTGATGGATGGATATTCAGATCAGTGTCTTTCCAGAAATAATGTTTAAATGCCAGTCCATTTATCTTTCACACTTGTTGCAATGTTTAAACCAGTAATCATTAAATAAAAACATCATTTATAGATTTCATATATGTGCAACATGATGCATGCATGCCCTCAGCCAATCACAGGTAGGTAAGTGAGATAGTTGTAACAAGATTCAGGAACACTCAGTGAATTGAAATGCTGCACTGTGAGAGTATCTCTGATTTAACTAAGTAGCAACTGTGAACACATTAATATTAACGACACAATAACCAAATTAACTTGTAATACATTACAACCCATCCATTAGAAAATGCTGCTGTTGTTGTTTTTAACTAGTCTTGATCTCATTTCAGTCAGTTAACCAAAGTGAATTTAAATAAAGCTTTTCTACCTGAGCACTCAAACTATCCACTGCCAGTAAAACAGGTTTCTCACCAGCAGGGGGCGAAGTGGAGGAAAGATGATGTCATCTGAATTATTTACTATAGTTTTAGCTTGTGTTGAAATTAAGGGTGGGAAAGTTGTTGTTTCTGATATTGCAGAGTCTGTACAACATTAAGTGCTTGGAGCTGACTGCTGTGAATTGGTGCTATATATATATTTTGCTAAAATAAAAGAACACTTTTTAATCAAAGTAAAGCATAAAGTGAATTAAACTTCCAGTGACCCAGTCAGATAAGTAGCAGAGGGAACTGTTCACCAGTTTCAGCTGCTTTGGAGTTAATGAAATGAACAACAGGTGCACTACAGAGGCAACAGTGATACAACCTGAAAACCTGAAATAGTTTTGCAGGTTGCAGCCTCTGACATCTGACCCACCTTTCTCTTTTCTGACTCTTTTTTTCGTGCTTGGTTAGGGTCAGTGTCCCTACTCGCAGTATGAGGTGATACCTGAACCCTGCAGAACTTAAACCGTCCTTGTGCAAGGAACAACAGCATGAGCATTGCCACAGCCCTGCAGAATGACCTCTCGCAGCCCACTGGTGTGAATAACTCAGAAACAGAATCCATGGTAAATGGACTGATTCTTATACAGCGCTTTTCTACTCTCCCGGAGTACTCTCTATACAACATGCCTGGTTCCCATCAGTCCAGTGAACAAATCCTTACTTTTTAGCCAAATAAAGATCTTAACACTGCTGTTACTGTTTGGGTTTTGTCCTCCATCCAGCTTTGATGGCCACGGCTCATAAAGGCCGACCACAAACCAGCTGTTCCTGTGTTGATTCCAAGGGAAGAACGTTTAAACTCTGTTTATTATTCTGACTGTTCTGCCTCCAAACTTTTCTTCTGTAAGTCTTTGTTTACTAACACATCAGATTGATCTGAATGTCCTGTCTTTCCTAAAGGTGAACCTGAACATGGAGGGAGGTCGATCTCTGGGTCTAATGATCAGGGGTGGTGCTGAGTATGGACTGGGCATATACATTACTGGAGTGGACCCTGGATCTGCTGCAGACATTGGTGGACTAAAGGTAGCCTGTCTCATCTGTCCTTCATAGCATTGCTGTATTGCACCACAACACAATGCAAACCCACACTGCCCTCCCACTACTGCAGGTGTATAAAAATCAAGCAGCGAGCCTTTCAGTCTGCTTTACAAACATCTGTGAAAGAGTTTAGTGAAGGTGATACAGTAAGATGGTGTCTGTAAACTCCCTCTGTAAGCAGTGGGATCAGTATCATGTCTGAATGTTATGTTAGTGGTAACTGTTCATTCACTGCTGGGCCCGTGTCCTCATTTGAGGAGCTCGTAGAACTGGGGGAACATGTATAGATGAGAACCGAAAGGAGCATGTTTGGGCGTGGTCCTGCTCCTGAGATTCAGGAACTTTATCTTCAAAGATGTGAGCTACAGAAATGTGCCAGAATTTGTTGGTAGTTAAAGCAGCAAGCCGTCTGCCCCTTTCCTTACTTACTCTTTCTACTCCTTAGAAATTATACACTAAATATCACACACACACACACATATATATATTACGGTGCAACGATACTCGTATCAATATTGAACCGTTCGATACAGTGCTTTTGGTTCGGTACGCATATGTATCGAACAATACAACATTTTGTGTTGAGCGCTCAGTGAATCTGCATTTGACTACTCCTAGGCTGCACTGTCGAGCGCAGATCCACTGAGCGCAGCGCAAGCTAGCAAGACAGAAGCTAAGCTCGTTGCAACATGGCAAATTGAACCTCCCCCACCCTCATTCAGATCTG